CCCCCCGGACGCTATTTTTAGAACAAAAAGGAGGACATGTCCGGGTAAATCCGGACGAATGGTAACCCTAAACTGTACCCCCTCCAGCTCACCCTCCCCCCCGGCAGTGTTCTCTTTTTTGGGAACCTGAACTATGTTAACTGTATGTGAGAGTGCCAGGGAAATGGAATTGTGCAAAGAAAGTCTGGCTGAGTTTTCTTAAGGCTACTAGACTGTGCAAAAGGAGATAGATAAAAAACGCATCTAGCAGTGAATGAAGGAAGTGGCCACCATAGACAAAAAGAGGCAAAGTTCAGGGCTGGCTGGCGAGGAAGGGAGACAGAGCTCTCCCTCTCTGCAGGAAGGGTGGAGAAACAGGCCTGATGTAGTAGGGCAGCCGCTGGGGGAGAAGCACTCAGCCCCCAGGAGACAGCGCCGCTTTGCTAAGAAACTGTTTAGGAGACGGGACAACCCAGTAGTGAGTTAACTTTACTTTACAGTTAGGAGCTAAGCCTCTTCAGTGCCCTAAAAGGGTTAAGACTGTAGGAGCATCCAGTGGACACAGGGGACAGAGGCTTCCTCCTCCCCACACCCCATGGAGATACAGTAGAACCTCAGAGTTATGAACCCCAGAGTTATGAACTGATTGGTCAACCACACACCTCAGTTGCAACCAGAACCACGCAATCAGGCAGCAGCAGAGACCAAAAACTAAAAAAGCAAATACAGGACAGTACTGTGTTAAATGTAAACTACTACAAAAATAAAGGGAAAGCAGCATTTTTCTTCTGTGGAAAGTTTGAAAGCTGTATTATGAAGGACATAAATCCACACCATGTAGAGGTCAAAGCATAGGGGTTTATTACACACAGCACTGGCGGAGTGTCACCTGGCTTATTAGGCTCAGAGACACTGTCAATCAATTGATTACAATGAAATATATAGATTTTCCATGGGCGGGGGAAAGTGACGGGGTAGGCAGTTCCACACCCCGGGATAGGTTTTGCAGCAAGACAAGATAGCACATTAGCCAATGGTTAAAAGGTTACATAATGTCTCCGCCCATGGTCTCAAATTAGCAAGTTAACATTTAATTAATACTTTGATAAAATGTTATTAGTATAAAATATATATGTTGAATTCTGATTTGGGGTCCATAGGAATGGAGCAACTTCTTTGATTGTTCAACAGGTACATTCCTAGGGGTTAAAGCAAAGAAACAGTGAAAGGATATGGTAATACAGATTGTCTCCTTTATGCCTTAAGGCAGGGCATTGGTCCCTGGGAAGGGAGGTGGAAGGATGCCATATCATTATACTGACATGTGCCAATTTTTCATAAACTCAAGGTTGGATCTGTGGGAAAACTGTTTTCCCTTCAGGAGAAACACAATAGGAACAGGGATTCTTTGTTCAATTTGAAACATTGGATGAAACATAATTATTCAGTTATTGCCTTAACATCTGGCATTTCTACTGACCAAGCATATCTTAGCAGAGGCAATGTTATTTTGTTTACCCCAGCTTTCTCTTAGCTGATCACTATTAGCTAGGCCTCTGGTCTCCAGACCAAACTCTGGACTTTGGGTCTGGAAAAGAGCTGGCATAATTCATATACCAGGTTGTTATATAACATGCACATGGATTTTAACCCTTCAATTAAGCCAATGTTCAGTTGTAAACTTTTGAAAGAACCGTAACGTTTTGTTCAGAGTTACGAACATTTCAGAGTTATGAACAACCTCCGTTCCCGAAGTGTTCTTAATTCTGAGGTTCTACTGTAACCGCGGCTGGGTCAGGATGCTGGGAAAGTCCACAAGGGGGCACTATTCCATGACACTGCACTTGCCAAAGGGGCCTATATCTGAGGGCAGGTCTACACTACGGCTGGGATCGATGCTCTGAGATCGATCCACTGGAGGTTGATTTAACAGGTCTAGTAAAGACCCCCCAAATCGACAGCAGATTGCTCTTCAGTTGACCCCGTACTCTACCCCCGACAAGAAGAGTAAGGTAAGTCGACGGGAGAGTTTCTCCAGTCAACCCCCCGCAGTGTAGACCCTGCGGTAACTCGACCTACAGTACGTTGACTCCAGCTATATTATTCATGTAGCTGGAGTTGCATCGCCTAGGTCGACTTACCGCGGTAGTGTAGACATAGCCTCAGTTCCCACATGTCTGTGCTAATTTCGATGGAAGAAATGGGGCCAGAGATTCCAAGGTGTTAGCATGACCCTGTCACTGTCCAACACGAAACAGTTCAACACAGGCCGGGGCTCCGAGGGCAGAGACCTCGGCCTGCTTAGTCCCATGGCAATGACCACCCTTAAAAATCAGTGTAACCTTTTATTAAAGAGACAGGAAAAGAAGGGAAAATGATCCAGCCTTTGAAATGTGAACTATTAAGGGAGATTTTTGTTGTAACAACATCCCTTGTCCCCTTTCCCTTTCACTGGAGAGAGTTCTAGCCGTTTGACAATCCTTCGGCTGGTATTACAGAGGGTATTAAACTGTCCATTTGCGGGAATAGACAAAAGTTGAGCTGAGATGGGCTGAAGCTGTTGTTGCTAGAATCTGCTCCTGCTTCCTTTAAGACAGAACAAGACAAACACACTCAAGACAGGAAAGGAAAGAACAGCCGAGAGAGAAAATGCAGCTTCTGTCTCTAGCGTTAACTCGCACTCACAAACTCACTGTTGGAGAAACACAGCCCAGCACATGGTCCCATCAGCCACTCCGAGACCTTGGGCCAGTTTAGGGCATTGCTTTTAGCTGCCTCTCTGGTCATGGGCTCACAGCAGCATTGCAAAATATACAGTCTTGGGCAACTAAGCCAGACTCTCATTAAACAGAAGGCAAAAGGAGAGCAATAGGACAGAGAAATAATAAGGAAGGAAGGAAAAGGACACACGGGGGGCCAGGTGGCAGCGAAGACCCAAGTCTCATGTCCCAGATTCTCTTCAGGATTTAGCCAAAGCCAGTGGAGGTGGTAGTGTCGTCTGGGTCAATCTGGCTGGACCGCACTGAGGATCAGGATGGTGCGGGCCCCACAGTGTAATGGTAGATCCCGGACTCCCAGGAGACGGTGGGGGTGGCAGACATGTTGGTAGGCCTGACTCCTTCCAGTCCACTTAGCTTCCACCATTGTGACTCCCCACCAAAGACTCTTTTTCAGGACCCTAAAAGAGAATGATGGGGGGGAACAGCCCCTCCCCTCATTATTTTGTCCACCAATTAAGCCAAATTTCCAACAAGTCTGTTTTGCTCCATTCCTTTCTGGTTCCATTCTCCTCTTATTTACCAGGCACGCTCTCAGCACACTCCTTGGGTGGTATTGGTTGGCCATTGTGTTTGGACTAATTCAGTCTGCCTTTAATTTTCCTGCCTTTCATAAATAATTGTATGTAGTTGGCTGAGTTGGACATCTGTTACCTTGGACAACTTAACACTGTGTGTGTGCAGTGCCCAGCATGATGGGGCCCAGATCTGTGTGTGTCATAACTATAAAGGGAAGGGTAACAGCTCTCCTGTGTACAGTACTATAAAATCCCTCCTGGCCAGAGACTCCAAAATCCTTTTACCTGTAAAGGGTTAAGAAGCTCAGGTAACCTGGCTGACACCTGACCCAAAGGACCAATAAGGGGACAAGATACTTTCAAATCTTGGGGGGGGGAAAGGCTTTTGTTTGTGCTCTTTGTTTTGGGGGTTGTTCGCTCTTGGGACTGAGAGGGACCAGACATCAATCCAGGTTCTCCACATCTTTCTAAACAAGTCTCTCCTATTTCAAACTTGTAAGTAAACAGCCAGGCAAGGCGTGTTAGTTTTTATCTTTGTTTTCTCAACTTGTAAATGTACATTTTACTAGAGTGTTTATCTCTGTTTGCTGTATTTTGAACCTGAGGCTAGGGGGGAGTCCTCTGAGCTCTTTAAGTTTTATTACCCTGTAAAGTTATTTTCCATACTGATTTCACAGAGATGATTTTTACCTTTTTCTTTAATTAAAAGCCTTCTTTTTAAGAACCTGATTGATTTTTCCTTGTTTTTAGATCCAAGGGGGTTGGATCTGTATTCACCAGGAGTTGGTGAAAGGAAGGAGGGGGGATGGTTAATTTCTCCTTGTTTTAAGATCCTAGGGGTTTGGATCTGTATTCACCAGGAGTTGGTGAAAGGAAGGAGGGGGGATGGTTAATTTCTCCTTGTTTTAAGATCCTAGGGGTTTGGATCTGTATTCACCAGGAGTTGGTGAAAGG